CCTTTCCTTTCCTTTCCTTTCCTTTCCTTTCCTTTCCTTTCCTTTCCCTTCCATTTCCCCTTCCCCAAAAATCAAAAATCCTTGAGAGTTTGTGAGCCTGAACTTCCAAACATCTCCCTCTCCGAGGTGAATTTTGGGCTCCTTTGGTGTACGAGCCCAGAGTGGAAAAGGATATTTCTTCCTCATCCTGCTCCCTAAAAATGTAGCGAACTCATAAAATCAGAGGATGTGGAGGTGGGGAGGGATTTCATTGGGGTCACCTCGGAGATTTTTAATGATTTGGGGTAAAATTGGCTGAAAATCAAAAATCCTTGAGAGTTTTGAGCCTGAACTTCCAAACATCTCCCTCTCCAAGGGGAATTTTGGGCTCCTCAGTGGTGTTGAAGTGTCTTCTCCATGCCATGACCAGCATCAGAGCAGCTGGTGGGACAAGTCCTGAAGTGCCCTCCCAGTTGAGCCCAGCGTGGAAAAGGATGTTTCTTCCTCATCCTATTCCCTAAAAAATGTAGGAAGCCTCTTCATGCTCATAGAATTAGAGGATGTGGAGGTGGGGAGGGATTTCATTGGAGTCATCTTGGAAGATTTTTAACGATTCAGGGTAAAATTGGTCGAAAATCAAAAATCCTTGAGAGTTTATAAGCCTGAACTTCCAAATATCTCACTCTCCAAGGGGAATTTTGGGCTCCTTGTTCAGCCTTCGGTGCACGAGCCCAGCGTGAAAGAGGATGTTTCTTCCTCATCCTACTTCCCAAAAGTGTAGGGAACTCATAAAATCAGAGGATGTGGAGGTGAGGAGGGATTTCATTGGAGTCATCTTGGAAGATTTTTATTGATTTGGGGTAAAATTGGCCAAAAATCAAAAATCCTTGAGAGTTTATGAGCCTGAACTTCCAAACATCTCCCTCTCCAAGGGGAATTTTGGGCTCCTCCAAGTTGTTACACGAGCCCAGAGTGGAAAAGGATGTTTCTTCCTTACCCTATTGCCTAAAAATGTAGGGAACACATGAAATCAGAGGATTTGGAGGTGAGGAGGGATTTCATTGGTGTCACCTGGGAAGATTTTTAATGATTTGGGGTAAAATTGGCCGAAAATCAAAAATCCTTGAGAGTTTGTGAGCCTGAACTTCCAAACATCTCCCTCTCCGAGGTGAATTTTGGGCTCCCCGGCGGCGTGGAAGTGTCTCCATGGTGGAGTTTGACCCTGGCTGTGTTTGTCCCCCAGCCGTGCCGTGCAGAGGAGCTTGGCCATCATCCGCCAGGCCAAGCAGAGGAGGAAGAAGAAGGAATATTGCATGTACTACAACCGCTTCGGGAAGTGCAACCGCGGCGACAGCTGCCCCTACATCCACGACCCCGACAAAGTCGCCGTCTGCACCAGGTGGGGAGGGATGTGGAAGTCGCCGGGATGTTGGTGGGCTTTGATGTGATATTCCAAAGGGAAACAGGGCGATGGAGGGTTGTAGGATCGCAGGGATGGGTGTTCTTGGGTTGGGAGGGATCTGCAGGAAGAGGACAGGAAGAGGTTGTAGGATCGTGGAGTGGTTGGGGTTGGAAGGGATTTTGGAGGGTCATCCCGTTCTGACCCCCTGCCGTGGGCAGGGACACCTTCCACTATCCCAGGTTGCTCCAGCCTGGCCTTGGATGCTTCCAGGGATCCAGGGGCAGCCACAGCTTCCCGGGGAAATCCGTCCCAGCACCTGGGAGGAAAAATCCTGCAAATAATTGTCCTGCTTTTAGTAATTGATGATTTCTTTCCAAGTGTTGGCAAAGTAGGGAAAATAAAGCCCTTGTTCATCCGTGGCTTGGGTTGGAAGGGATTTTGGAAGGTCATCCTGTTCCAAACCCCTGCCATGGGCAGGGACACCTCCCACTGTCCCAGGTTGCTCCAACATGGCCTTGGACACTCCCAGGGATGGGGTAGCCACAGCTTCTCTGGGAATTCCATCCCAGTCCTTCACCACCCTCCCAGCCAAGAATTCCTTCCCAATATCCCATCTAACCCTCTGGCAGTGGGAAGCCATTCCCTGTGTGTTGTCCCTCCATCCCTTATCCCAAGTCCCTCTCCAGCTCTCCTGGAGCCCCTTTAGGCTCTGGAAGGAGCTCTCAGGTCTCCCTGGATCCTTCCCTTCTCCAGGCTGGATATTCCCACCTCTCCCAGCCTTTCCTCCATCCCATCCCTCCGATCATTTTTGTGGATCAAAGATCCTGAGGGCTGCATAAATTCCTATAAAATGCCTCGATTCCCAGTCCCTCTCCAGCTCTCCTGGAGCCCCTTTAGGCCCTGGAAGGGGCTCCAAGTTCTCCCTGGATCCTTCTCTTCTAAACTGAGGGGCTTGAGACCCTTCCCTGACCACACACCGGGCGATTCCAGCGGCAGCGCTTCCCAGATCCGCTCGGATCTGTACAACAGGTTCCATTCCCTCATCCGGTGACGTCGCGCGGCTCCGAGAGCGGATGATTAATTCCAGGAGAAGGGACTCCCGTTGCCAGCTCGTTAGACCTGCCCAGGAGTTGATTAAACTCCATTATTAGTCATTTAAAAAGTGCAGGAAAGCCAAATCCGCCGATGAACTCCCGGAGTAAATTTCTCCATAAAAATTGCTGCTGGGCTGGGATCGCTCGGAACCCGCCCCGGGCTCGGTGGGAGATCAGGGAGGAGGGAAAGGTGATTTATGGGGGTTTTTAACCACAACACATCCCACAGCTCCTTGCCTGCTTTAGGAATTGCTTCTCCGTGAGGTCTTTGGGATCTCCATCCCGCCCCGTTTCCGTGGATCACTGGAGGGCAACACTGATTTTCTCCCGGTCTCGTGTCTCCTCCTCCCGGTGCCTTCGGCCCCAATCCCAATCTTTAGCTTTTTCCCTTATCATCCCTTAATTTTGGGAATCTCCTGTCGCGGTGGCAGCTCCCGGGAAAACTTCTGGCTCCAAATATCCTTTGGGATCTTGGGTTCTGTCCTGTGCCTGCCTCTGCTCCTCCGGGGTTTTGGCCATTCCTGCCCGGAGCTCATCCCGGTGCTTCATCCGGAATCATGGAGTCATAGAATGGGTTGGGTTGGAAGGGACCTGAAAGATCATGGAATTCCAAACCCCTGCCACAGGCAGGGACACCTCCCACTAGCCCAGGTTGCTCTGAGCTTCATCCAAACTCACCCTGGAACACTCCAGGGATGGTGATTCCATCCTGGAGGAATCAGGGCTCTCGGAAGGAGCTTTTCTCCTTCTGGGAGCATCATCCCTGAATTTTTGGGGTACAGCCCTTGCTCTGCCAACTAAGGAGCAGCCAAATAGGATGAAAGAACCAAATCCATCGGGAATCAGCAGCTGCTCTTCCAACAGGAGGAACCTTCCCCAAATTAGGGTCTCAATGACGAGTGTTTGTGTGTTAAAACCTCGTGGTTTGGGACCCACCTCGTGCTCAACCCTCTCCCTCTGCTGTAATTCCAGGTTTCTCCGTGGCACGTGCAAGAAGACGGATGGGACCTGCCCCTTTTCCCACAAGGTGTCCAAGGACAAGGTCGGTGTGACATTCCAAAGGATGCAGGGGGTCGTGGGAAGGTTCTGCCTCGTGGAGGGTTTCCAGCCGAGTTTGGGGTTTGCTTCCCAAGCTTTTCAGGCTCCTGGATCAGGACAGAACCATGGAGTGGTTGGGCTTGGAAGGGATTTTGGAAGGTCATCCAGTTCCAACCCCCTGCCATGGGCAGGGACACCTTCCACTAGCCCAGGTTGCTCCAAGCTGGCCTTGGGACACTTCCAGGGATGGGGTAACCGCAGCTTCCCTGGGAATTCCATCCCAGTCCCTCCCCACCCTATGGTTCTAAAAGAGGTCTAGAAAAGGGAAAGGAGCCTGGAGAAGGGGGAAAGGAACCTGGAGGAGAGGGAAGGGAGCCTGGAGAAGGGGGAAAGGAACTTGGAGGAGAGGGAAAGAAGCCTGGAGGAGAAGGGAAGGAGCCTGGAGAGGGAAAGGACCATGGAGAAGCAGGAAAGGAGCCTGGAGGAGAGGGAAAGAAGCCTGGAGGAGAAGGGAAAGCTGGAGAAGAGGGAAAGGAGTCTGGGGGCAAAGGACC